GGATGTAACTGGTCATGAAAGTCTGTGACTTTGCAGTTACCACATATCTTGTGTTTCCAGTTACAGAATTTTGCTTTCACAGTCAATTTAACAGTACATCTATGTTATGAAAATAACAGAGCTGCAAAATTTCAGTGGAGCTGTATTTTTCCTCTTTTTTATGGCTTCTTAATATTCATTTAATGACAAAACACAAACTTATCAAAATAGTTATGGTTACCTGCATTGGTGCAAAATGAATTTACCTGTGTGTTTGATTAAATCTTTGTATTAATCGGCTTCCGTCTGCTAACCTAATCTGAATTTTAGTTGCTGGCATGGAATCATCAATCAGAACAGGAGCATTAAGAATGGATTTCTCCTCCTCCTCTGGGGAAGAAGGTGTGCTGACTATTTCAGGTGTAAGACTAAAGGATTGGAAAAAAACAGATGTTATTAACAGAGTCAAACAGAACTGAGTAACATTACAGTTGTCTTTTTCATTGGGTGACTACCTTGTACAGCTAGTACAAATGAGCAATGAAAACCCTCTCAAAGTTATCTGAACTAATCATAAATACAGCTTTTAAATAGATACACAGCGCTTTTGTAGTTTCTTGTCAATGACTGCACCATTACATATTTATTTTTCTTATAACTGTGCATATCATTATATTTGCATGATTTTAAATAGGTTATCAAGTGCAAACAAAAACATCTTTGTCTATGCTTACAGAGCATGAAATGATACTAAGATTTATATATCATACCTCATAGACTATATTAAAAAATAATCATGCACCATTATACTGCATTAAACTGACCCAAACTGCTTTAGTAATTGCTTTCAGGAGCACTATTTTATGATTCTGGGCATCTCCCACCCTTTTAGAGCACAAATGATACTGACAGGTAATTGATATCATCACAGTGAGCTTGGAATTTTTTACATTTAGTATAAAAGTTATATAAATCTGATTGGAGATAGCAATTTGGTCAATCCTTTCATTGCTTACATACCTGAGACTTCATAGGCTACCAAAACAAACAAACATGCCACACAACAGGTGTGCACATTTTCTTACATACAGAACCTTCTGTCTTCCCCATTTACTTTAATAGTCTGAGCAAGTCCATAGGTGAAGTTGTTACTATACACAATTGCTCCCTATGCCACTCCTACCAGAGTTTACCACCTTTTCAGTTTCACTGAGCACACTTCCTCCGTTTTAAAAAGATGAAATATAGACTTCACACAGCTAAGAATCATTTATTCAATTAAACTACTTGCAGAAGCACACCAGTAATACCCTTTTTTGGCAACTAAACATATCACATGGATACATGCAATCATGAACAGAAACCTAGAAGTCTTTACAATTCAACTGCTAGTATCAAGTCAGCTGGAAAAGATGCTACAAAGCCTACAATTGTTATGTGAAAAAGCTGATGACTGGCAGAGTTGAGGTCACACTACTGTTTTCTCTTACTGACTGACTCAAGATGAACAGAGAATACACATTTTTGGACAAAGTAGTCTGAAACGTTCAGTCACGGGAATTAATTTTGGCACATTATGTACCAGTTCAATTGACTTATACATGTCACAAAGCTTTAACAGCATCAGCTTTAACAGCATCAGCCTACTCTTGTGCTGGGACAGCAAATGAAACAGAACGAAGCATAAGCTTTTCTAAATCATTAAATTTCAGCTTTTTTTACTCCATTTATGAGTTTTATACTGTAGGTAGAGATGACACTAGAATTGGAGGAACTGGGAGGTCCAGTCTGAGGTTAAAAACTGAGTCCCTCCTCTCTCCCAATCCAGGGTTTGCAGTATTAGTTCATCTATGCAAGCACGTACAATTTGTCTGGTTGGTTGTTTTTTAAAAAAAACAGCTCCTACTATAGTTTTTTGCAGCATCATTTGAGGTTTAAATAAAACCTTAGAAAAAGTTGAGAGATTTTGATATAACTTATTGCTCATTTATCTCAGATGAAATTTTTAAAAAGTTAGCGTATCAAATTATTTCTTTCTTAAAGCTAACAGACTTGCCTTGTATAACTTATAATGAGTGATTTTTCACAAGGTTATATTTCAGGCCAGTATTTCTGGCACTTCATTTCAGAAAAAATAGATGAGTTGCTCCCATCCAAAAACACTTTCCATCTGCATTAAGTCAAGCATCAGTTGTACTGTTGCAATGGCATCTCCTATTCCCTTTGTGATGATCCCAGCAGTAAAAGACACCATGTACTGCAGCTAATCCAGAGCAGAGTATGTCCTTACCAGCCAGGACCACATTATGACTTAAGTTCTGCCTGTTCCTCACTAAATAGAGAATAATTATTTGAGTCTGCTTCCTCTATCCAGATAAATTTTTCTCATTAAGTTTGTAGAGTACTAATCACCTTGCAGCTTCCTTTGCTCCCATTTTAAATGTGGCTGAAGTGAAAAAAAAAAAATGATAGGCAAAATTATATGCAAGAACAGGTAGAAAAATCCAATAGGACTAAGACTTAACTTTTTTTTAAGTTTATATATAAATTTCCATGGTTACTGTGACTCTGTGAAATCAGGGCTTAGACTTGTTGCACAGAATGATTTCATGTTGCTTTTGTCACCTGATTAGCTTCTCCAATGGTCTCCTAATTGATTTAATACACTTGAAATAGCAGATGAACACAAAACAGAAAACCTAGTGTTTTGTACCTTCCAAGTTTTTGCCCTTCTCCACTGAAAGCTTTGAATCGCAGTCTAGGCTTCACATATTCCTGTTCCTGGTGGTCTTCCATATCCAAATTAACCTGGCCGCCATGAACAAGTCGCTGCAGTTCCACAGGAATTTCCCTTAATTACAAAAATAAGTTTCCCAATTATGTTCTGAACTGCAATACAAAACTACACAAAAACCTTACACAGTCCAGTATGAGTAGACATTATTAGTATGTTTACTTTAAGTCATAGATGTCCAGTTGTTTTATGAATTTATTTAATCCCAAAACAATAGATGAAATTAAAAACTAAAAATAAGGAAAAAAACCCAGTGATCTGACAATCAAAACCTAGGACCTACAGACAGTCAAAACCTAGAATGTGCTAACAAAACACGTGAAACTCACAGCTGCCTGTAGCAAGTAGCATTCAGCATTAAACCCCCAGAAGGAACCAAAGTGTTCCAAATTTTTTAGCGTCCCATGCACCTGATGACAAATATAGAACACATTTTATGGGTCCAGGCAGAGAAGCAGCCTTGAGCTAATAATTATAAACATGTGGAGAAAGCATTTTCCTCCACTTGACTTAAAAGATATACCTCAAAAAAAATGCCATTTTAACTTACCCTCTTTTAACAGACTCAAGAAACTGAGCGTTTGTTGGGTCTGAATAGGATCTCAACTCGCCATCATCTAAACTGAAGCCATTCCTCCATAGTTTCAGCAAAATTTGAACCTGTGAAGCAAAAACAGTGAAACAAACAAACAAAAAAATCAAGATAGACAAATAAGGTATTTCAATTTCCTACAGATCAGTTATAGAATCTTTGACCTATACTTAACAGATTTTGTAGCAGACCACAAATAAGAATGCAAATGACAAAAGAAGAACAGAGCACTGCACTGGAATGATCACTGTTAGAATCCTTTAAAAAAAAAAAAAGCAAATCATAGTTATACATTACTACCTACTTCCAGACCACTTTCACCCTTGGGGAAAAAGAATCTCCTCAATCTGCTACCCATAACATATGATATACAGTGACTGCCTAGTGATCCCCACAGTGTTTCAACTACTTTTAAAAAGTAGTAAACATTTCTTGTTGATAAATTAAGAAATAAATCCATAAAACTACAAATTCCTGCTTATACATCAGTTACAGCAAAAACTGTTCTTTCCTCAAATTATTACATGCTGAGCTCCAATAAAGTTGATACCAGCTTCATTCAGTTCAAGTGCTGAGAATTGTGAAAAGCAGCTTCCTTCGCTCCCTTCTTATTTTGCTGCCTGCCTGTACCTCCAGCCAGAGCCTTTCACCTTGTGCTGGCTTTGGCTGGAATAGAATTAAATTTCATCATAGCAGCTGGTATGGGGTTGTGTTTTGGATTTGTGCTGGAAACAGCACTGATAATGCAGAGATATTTTCATTACTGCTGAGCAGTGCTTACACAGAGTCAAGGCCTTTTCTGCTTCTCGCACCACCCCACCAGCGAGGAGGCTGGGGGTGCACAAGAAGTTGGGAAGGGACACAGCTGGCCCCAACTGACCAAAGGGATATTCCATACCATATGACATCATGCTCAGCATATAAAGGTGGGGGAAGAAGAAAGAAGAGGGGGACATTCAGAGTGATGGCATTTGTCTTCCCAAGTAACCGTTATGAATATTGGAGCCCTGCTTTCCTGGAGATGGCTGAACACCTGCCTGTGAATCACGTAGTGAATGAATTCCTTGTTTTGCTTTACCTATTAAACTGCCTTTATCTTAATCCACAAGTTTTCTCACTTTTACGCTTTCAATTCTCTCCTCCATCCCACTGGGGGCGAGTGGGAAAGCAGCTGTGTGGTGCTTAGTTGCTGGCTGGGGTTAAACCACGACACACCTTCAGAGACTGCACTTCTCTTCCCTGCAACAAATGCCTTGCAGTCCAGCACAACGAGGCTTCCCCAGCCAGTAAAACTGGCCTTCCCTTCGAAAACCAGCCCTGCTCCCAGATACGGTAACTGCACTGCAACAGGCTTGCGGCTCAGTACAGCTGGCCATAGCTTAGAGGGTAGAAGGATTACTTAAGACAGTAGAAGGCAGCAGCTCCTGGTGTGATATAACAGCGCTCCCCAGCCTGAACCACATCCTTTGGCCTCAGTCATTTCTTGATTTTGTTCCTAGATAAGCTTAACATGTGCTTTATACATTCACAGGAATGGCAAAGCATAGAGAATATTGTTTCCCCTACCCCTCCCTCACTTCCCTTTTAAGAGAGAGGAAAGAAAGACCAGACAATTTTCCAAAGCCTCTAGCCTTCTGCTTCACCATTCCTAGAATACATCCAAGCTCTCCAGTGTGAGATTAGCTACTTTGCAAGCCACAACAAGAAACAGTTCCTAACCTAAGAGGATTAAAATGCTAGCATAGCTAGGAGAATGCAGAACAACAGCTGTAGCAAAGCAACCAAAAGGAATGTTTGCTAAGAATTTCAAAGTAATTTACATCAGAAAATTCCATAATGGAGGCCTTGGGGGTATCCAATGAACATCTGTCATCTGTGAACACTTTCACTTTAACAATTTCTACTTAACACATATCTATTATTCAAATATTACTCTTTCCTCACAGATACAGCTACAATAATACTGGCATTTCAAGCTGTAAACAGGGTTAAGCAGACATCTGTTGGAGATTCTGTTTCCTGCTATTAGGAATTTTACTTACATCTTGATTTTCCCCATATATGTATTCAGAGTGCTTTTGTGATGAGTCACCCAATCTATATCCACCACCAGAAAATGACTGGAAAAAAAAAATATAGAAAAGCTTGTTGAAATAAATATGTGAAACAATTTATTAAAACTATTACCTTTAGGTGCAAATAAAAGCACTAGCAAGCTGTGTTTTGTGATAAAAAGGAAATACACTGTTCTAACTTGTATACTTTCCAAGCGGAAAATTATACCTAGTAACCATAATCAGGGTAAGCAGGTTTTATGTGATGCACTTCCATTTCTAATCTGTAGAATTTTTCAGTCATTAGTAATTCAACAGATAAGAGATTTTGATTGGGATGCAACTGCAGTTGATTTTTTTTCCATCTATTTTAATTAAAAATAAAGCAAGTAATTCCAGTTCAGGTTGATTTCTAATGATTCCCCCTAGAACTGTATGCTTTCTCCCTGCTTTATTTTCTAGAGCAAGCTATTTGAGCACAGATAATACACAACTCTTGATTAAATCCTCTGCTATTCACAAACCACAAAAAGGCACATTTGCTCTTATGTGGTTAGACGAGTTTCAGAGAGACTGATGTACACAGAGATCAAAATACCTTTCAACTTTTACCTTAGCTTTACTGAAATCACCAGATGCTCTTGAGGCTTCATCTAACGGGACAGCTCCATGCTCTTTTGCCTCTTTGAAGAGTTCAGCAACAATTTTACTTGGATTATTAGAAGCTCCAGAAATCTGTAATCCTTTATATTCCGAGTCACCTGAATAAAATCTTTGGAATAGTAATGTTCATAAGCAACAATCCTTTCAATGACAAGCATAATTTTCCTCTTCCCATTAAAAGAAACAAAATTAACGAACAAGGAGCTGAATTTGGCACAAAACCTTTTCATTCTGATCACAGGAATGTCCCACTTAGTTCTGACTTCGACAGCAATCCAAGCAGTATTACTCTAGAGAGAACACTAACAAAACTACCAAGGTGCCTTCTGGAACAGAGCCCCGAGGTTGGGGGCCAAAGCCATTGGTTTCAGTGAATGAGTACAGATTGGGGGTTGACCTGCTGGAAAGGAGCTCTGAGGAAAAGGACCTGGGTGTGCTGGTGGACAGCACCATGAGCCAGCACTGTGCCCTTGTGGCCAAGAAGGCCAACAGTATCCTGGGATGCATTAAAAAGAGTATGGCCAGCAGGTCAAGCGAGGTTCTCCTCCCCCTCTACTCTGCCTGGTGAGGCCACATCTGGAGTACTGTGTCCAGTTCTGGGCTCCCCAGTTCAAGAGGGACAGGGATCTTCTGGAGAGAGTCCAGTGAAGGGGCACAAAGATGATGAGGGGCCTGGAGCATCTCCTGTATAAGGCAAGTTTGAGAGAACTGGGACTCTTCAGCCTGGAGAAGAGGAGACTGAGAGGGGATCTTATCAATGTCTATAAATATCTGAAATGTGGGGGCCAAATGGATGGGGCTGGGCTTTTTTTGGTGGTGGCTGGTGACAGGACAAGGGGCAATGGGCAAAAACTGGAACACAAGAAGTTCCATACAAACTTCTTTACTGTGAGGGTGACAGAGCACTGGAATAAGCTGCCCAGAGAGGTTGTGGAGTCTCCATCGCTGGAGATGTTCAAAACCTGCCTGGACACTTTCCTGTGCAACCTGTTGTAGAGAACCTGCTTTAGCAGGGGGGTTGGACTAGATGATCTCCTGAGGTCCCTTCCAACCCCTATCATTCTGTGAACACAGTTCTGATGCAGTCATGGCTTTATACACCTCATCTTCTGTGGATGTCATCTGCTCCCAGAAAGAATGATTTCCTTAGGGGTGTCCTGTGCATGGGACTGTGCCTGGGCTGGTTAGAATATATTCACAGAATTCTTGGCAGAACAAGCATAAAACACATTGTTGGAAAACCTGAACAGTGCCACAATGTGATCTTTTAATTTAAAATTTAGTGTACTTCCATTGCTGCCAATATCATAAATGGAAAGTTTTTAATAAATATTAATTAAGCTTTCAAGGCATTTTAAAATCTGCAGAAGCTGCTATGAAAGCTAATTTATACTCTTTTTCTTCAATGTAGCCCCATTTCAAGCTCTCGAAGATAAAAGGTTAAACTACAAATAACTCTATTCAAAACTGTATCTGCTTGATTATGAAGATCAAGGTATTCCTTAATAATTATCTTGAGGAAGGCACTATAAATCTCTAAATACCAACAGAATAGATGCTGTAAGAATTCTATATATAAATACAGAACCTGTCAAACTTGGGTGTGTCTTGTCTTTGATTACAAGAAGTGCCAATAACTAATAAAACAAGTGCTGTCTACTTTCCTTAACTTTTTCACTTAACCACTTGGGACAAGGCAAATCAATTAATCCATGTTAAACTGTTTCTCAGGCCGATGTCTTCAAAATGCTGTTGATTCCAGTACTTTTTACAACTACCCAAAACCAGAAGTGGGTATGAAGGTGCTGTACAATCATTCTACTTTTACGATGACACATAACCAGCAATGCCTTAGTATCATCTCTCCTTTGTACATAAATTTATATGGAAAATCTTTAATTATTAGATTTAAAAGAATTATAGTGGTAAGGAGATGAAACAAGAATTCTCATCAGAGCCTGTATTCAAGAAAGAAAGGAAGTGCTTAAATATTTGAGTAATGGATAGACAGAACTATTCAGGATATTTGTGAAGAGGAAAAAAAGCTTTTGAGTCCAAGCATAAGTTTCAACCTTTACATCCACACAGTCTCGTGGTAAGGCACATACAGATCCTACACG